TTTGTCAGTTTTGTTCATTTCCCCGCCCGGGGTTTCGGGGAGGTGGTGCCAGTTGATTTGTTTTGTTTTTCCTTTTTATCTGTTCAGAATTTTTTCTGCCGTTGCTTTGGCAGGTTTGTTATTTTCCTCGCTGTTCGAGTGCCAGTGTACTTTTTGTTGCACTGAATCTAGAAAAAGTTCTGCCAGTAGCTCGGTGTCCGCTTTGACTCCCTACGATACACGTCTCCCTGACAACTTAAGCAGCTTATTGGGATTGAAACAGCCCTTGCCTTAATCCCTATTCGGACAGGATTAGTTTTACTGGGGGTGGTTGGATAATATAATTACATGCACAAACACAAAAACACTATATCTGTCATTTTTGTCCTGTCCAAATTTGCCATGTCAGTAATTTGTATGTGGCAGGAGAGGAACATTCCAGTGTCACACCCTGGTGATGTCCTCCTCGGTTGGGGGCAGGTACCGGAAGGCTATGAAGGGGGAGACCCAGGCAGGAGAGGAGCAACGGCATCAACAGTGTTGTTCGGCGGACGGACGAGAGGCAACCCCAAAATATTTTTAGGGGGGGCACACGGCATGGCGACGGGGCAGCAGGAGGCAGCTACAGGGCGTATTGGAGGTTAGGTAGGGAGGCCACCAGGTTAAGGGGGCTATTGGTCCAGAGGGAGCAGGAGTTAGTGGTTCAGAGGGAGGAGCTACTGGAGGCGATAAGGGAAAGGAGAAAGTGAGGCACGGCGAGAGGAACTGTGTAGGCAGCTGAGGGAGCGGAGGGTTATGAAGAAACCCAGTCCCGCTCCTCACACCAAGCAAGTGGTTGTGTGTCACCAGTCCGGTCCGGCCCGTTCCTGCTCCCCGCACTAAGTTGATGGTGCGCGTCACCAGCCCGGCCCGGCCTGTTCCTGCCCCTCGCACCAAGCTACGGTGCGCGTCGCCAGCCCCGGGCCTGTTCCTGCTCCTCGCACCAAGCCTACGGTGCGTGTCGCCAGCCCGGCCCGGCCTGTTCCTGCCCCTCGCACCAAGCCTACGGTGCGCGTCGCCAGCCCGGCCCGGCCTGTTCCTG